ATATATATATATATATATATATATTGCAAAATGGTTATGCAAGGAGGCTCACGAAGAACGGCGTTGTTATATTGAAATTTAAGAAAAGTAGGAAAAAAATACCTCTTACAAAAAAGCAAAACAGATTGACTTGAAACATATTTCCCCATCCTACGCACTCATCCATACAAATGCACAGCAAATGACCATTTAATGTTTTTTTGACAAATAACATCCTTGACATAACTATTTGACATCAATTTGAAACAAAAGTAAATAAGAAAAAAATTGTATACCATGTATAATAAAACAAAACAAGAAAGAGGTACTAGTCGGGAGCTCCCGACTAGGGAATTCCCTGAACGCTCTTATTCCAACATCAAATGCAGTTTTTGCTTTTGATGTTCTCGCTAGCTGCCCATCCAATTGCGCAGTTACATATAACTTTGGTTTTTTTAACCGATCTAAATGAAATTTTCTACAGTATATCTTATTGTAGCATAGAATTTTTGAGTATTCTCAAAAAGTCAATTGTATTTAAATTGTGGCATAAATTGGTTGGCAATATAAGTTGGGTTATTAACTCAATTAATAGCTCTGCGGTGTTAACAGGGAGGTTGCGATAGGTATATAATGAAAAATACTTGATATATATATAATATTCTAGAAGCAACATATCAAGTTTGGTGACTCTAGCTCTTAATACTTACCAAAATTGCTCAAAAAACAGGATGTCGATATCGATTTTTATCGATTGTTTGGAAACTGAGTAAGTTATCGACTATCGGAAACAAACTCGATCTGCGCAGGCACTAGGAGGACCTAAATCTAAAATCTCTAGCTCTTATAGGTTCTGAGATCCTTGCGTTCATACATACGGACAGACGGACAGACAGGCAGACGGACATGGCTAGATCGATTCGGCTGTTGATGCTGATCAAGAATATATATACTTTATGGGGTCGGAGATGCTTCCTTCTGCCTGTTATATATATTTGCATTTTGCAGAAATACAATATACCCTTTTTACCCATTTTTAATGGGTTCAGGGTATAATGAAAACAAAATATTTCGATAAGCTAAAACAATTGGTTTTTGTGGAGACTTTTGATATTGGATAACAGACTAGTTTGCATATTTATTAATAATAGAAATAAATAAATGAAAATTGAGAGTACCTGCAGCTGAGGCCTTGTGAATATATACATATATTATATATTATTTAAATATATATAATATCATATGCATAAGCAAATACTACAATATATTTGTAAAATGTTTTTTGAGTTTTCTCTTCTTAAACTCCTCAACTGCAAATTATTTAGATCTCATTTAAAATGTAGCAAACTTAACTTATTCCAAGCCTCAGAAGCCGAGCTTTAAGTTAGATTTTTAGGGCATTTAAGACGCGTTATACTTGTATAAATATATATAAGTTCTGTTTGAGCTGCATTTCTTATGACCAATGCCATTACATATGCATTTGTGGGAAGACCCGCATGTGCAACTAGACATCGAGTCGCACTTTCCGGCGAGATGTATTCGGGGAGCAGCTGCTCAAATGGCAAAGAAATCATTATTTATAGGCAACGGGAGGAACACACAGAACCACAGATCAACTGGCAGACAAACAGAGACGGGCGCAGAGAGAGAGAGAGAGAGAGAGAGGGGGGGGGGGGGGGGGGGGGGGGGGGGGGGGGAAGGGAGCGGAAGACAGTGCCATTTGCAGACAGGACACATGGAAATGAATGCAAACTGTTGCCAAGACACACGACATGCAGAGACCATCAATATAAATTTCAATATGACCAAAAACATATTTGCCATTACGAACGAAAAAAATGCTGGCAGACCGCACAATCAAAGGAAAACGCCAGCAGTCAGAGAAAATAAATAAAATACCAACAAAAACATATACTGCACAACTCAAGCATATAAATCAATTAAATGGCAGATAAGCATAAAAGATAACCTCAACTATAAGCAATAGTTAGCACATATCATTATTAAACAAAGATAAAAACTATTCAAATATATAAAAAGGCTAATCTTTAACTTATGCATTCGCAACCCCAAAGAGTTGTCTAAAATACTAACTAAATAGCCAAAATGTTAACAACTGCTTTAAAATATATTTCTACTCTATATATTATAAGCATGTTTTTGAAAAATAGAACAACTGCAGAAAAATACCACAAGTAGAAACTATCCTCCGACTGAAAGCATGAAAAATACTAAAAACATTGCTCGAGATTTGAAATTTGTTGTATAATACTAAAAAAAAAAAAACGAAATATAACAAGTAAGAGGTTCTAGTCGGGAGCTCCCGACTAGGGGATACACTGAACCCTCTTCTTCCAACATCAAATGCATATATATATTCTATTTTAGAAGCTATATGTCAAGTTTGGTGACTCTAGCTCTTATTATTGACCAAATTGCCCAAAAAACAGGATATCGATATCAATTGCTTGGAAACGGAGCAAGTTATCGATTATCGGAAACAAACTCGATCTGCGCGGGAACTAGGAGCACCTACATCTAAATTAAAATATTTCAAGTCTCTAGCTCTTATAGGTTCTGAGATCCTTGCGTTCATAGACGGACGGACAGACAGACGGTCATGGCTAGATCGACTCGGCCTATTGATGCTGATGATCAAGAATATATATACTTTATGGGGTCGGAGATGCTTCCTTCTGCCTGTTACATACATTTGGCTTTCGCACAAATACAATATACCCTTATACCGATTTTTAATGGGTTCAGGGTATAAAAATATTGTGATAAATAAATATCACAAATTTCTTCTGGACCGAGAAAATCTGGCAAATTGAAAAATATCAGATTAAAATACCAAAAATACCGGACAGCGAATTGTGTGCGTATATTGCTTAGATGCTTCTGTGCTTGCAAGCATACACATAAGAGCGAGACGTCATTAACTAACTGCAGTATATGTATGCCAGCTCAGAGCTTGCAACACAAGAAGAAGAAGGCAAACAATGGCGTGCATCAAGCGTGCCCCAGAGGCGACTTTGCCACATACCACTCCAAAAAGCCAAACTTTAACTTTAAGCGTAATGACATCAGCTGCCGCCTGTGCCCTTTTGGGGCTGTTGTTGTTGTTTGTAGCATACACTCAGGCGCAAGTGGCAAGCGGCAAGTGGCGAGTGGCACGAGTAGCCAAGAAGCGAACCACAGGTCAGGCCAAAAGGCAAAAAGTGCAACGTAAAAGTTGCAGCTAGCAACTTGCAACTTGCGAGACAAAAACGACACAAAAATTACAGCAACAGGGGGCAGGAGAGAGGGGAAGCTGATGCTGTTGAATGAATGTGTGTGCATGTGTGTGTGTGTTTGCGATAAAAACGGAAGCGCAGATTGCACCAGCACCAGCAGCGGCAAAAGGCAACAACCAAAGTGTGGAAATGTCAATTTGCTTGTGCCAGGACTCAATGGGCAGAGAGGTGTAAAAGCTAAGAGGCAGTGGGCCGGTGGGCGTAACCGCACCGGAAGATGGCAACGGAAAGTGCAACAGCAATAACAACAACAACAACAGCTGCAGCAGCAGCTGCAACAACGTGTATTGATTTTCAATTTGACGCCGTAAGATAAAAAGCCAAGGCGACGGAGAAATGGCATTATAGAGGTAGCAAGAGAGAGAGGCTGAGAGAGGGAAAAAGAGAGATACAGAGAGAGATAGAAAGAGAGAGAGAAAGAGAGAGAAAGATATATATAGAGAGAGAGAGAGAGAGAGATAGAGAAAGAGAGAGAGAGAGAGAGAGAGAGAGATGGCTATAAGTTTGAGAGCCACTGTGCGCAAATGAACGGCCAAAGCTTAAAAGCAATTTTGCGGCTAATAAATCCGATTTCCGTTTTGTTTCGAAATAAATTGCGAGCGAGGTTTTGTTGTTGTTTTGGAGGGTTTTGTATGCACCGGAAATGGTTCTCGGGAGACATCAACGTACAACGGGCAACCAACAGCAGCTGCTTTCAGCCGGATGTGCTAAATTAGCAGCTGCAATGGGCACGCCAAATGCACAACAAAGAGACAAACACACGCGCACACAACAACACACGCACACCCACACTCTCACACAAACACAGACACATGACCTAATTTAGCAAGTACAGCCAAGGGAGCTGCACTCAAGTGTTTGTGAGATACCCTGTAAAGAGAATAGCTGTGCAGCGATTGCCCAAAAGTAGGCAATAAAATAGAAAGAGATTTTAAGCAAATGTTTGGACAACAGGTAAAAGAGCCCTTAGCTTGGATGACCCAAAGATTTTAATTCTGATTCCTTTTAATTCCTATTCATATTCTTTTGATTCCTTTTCTCTGATTCCTTTTAATTTATATTCCTTTTCCTTTGATTTCCTTGAACTTTCCATTGTACTCATTTAACCAAACTGTCCTCAAGAAAAACAGACCATAAATACAAGTGTATATTTTTTCTCATTACAGGGTATCTCTTCGTGGTTTCATTTTAATGATAGACATAGAATATCTGTCCTGAACATGCCATTATACTCATTAAATTAATAGTTGCATATAAGACATGCGTAGATCTGCTTGTTTCTGTTTTACTCATTACAGGGTATCTCCCTGCCTGCTTTCGATAATATGTGCAAAAAATCTCTCTTGAGCTTTGCATAATGCTCATGAAATAAATATGACGCTCATTATAAACAGACCAAAGCCATATCCTCCCATTTTCTACTCATTTCAGGGTATCTCTCTTTTTATGTTTAACGCTATATGAGGAATGTCTCTCCTCAACCTTCAATTATACTCAATTTAGCAATACAGCAATAGGACTCATCAGGTTATTGCAGGGTATCTTTCTGCTTCCTCTCAACGATATATATATAAATTCTCTTTTGATCTTCCCATTATACTTATTGTATCAACAGGCTCTCGTTAAAGCCAAAATAAAAACCTATTCTCAGATATTAACTCATTACAGGGTATCTCCTAATTCGGTATCTCTGACAACAAATCGTATGAATTTAGCACTCACCTGTACATCAAAATTTTGCTGCTGTTGCTGCTGCTGCTGCTGCAAGAGATTGCCTGAAGATTCCATATGATTGGGTCCGCCTAACTGTGCGCCCTGATGATTCAACATGGGTGACTGACAGAAAGAGACAGATGGAACATTATGCTAGAGCCAGTGCTTGTCAAACTGGTGCTGCTGCTCACCTGTGCGGCCATTGGCATTCCGGCACCAACTCCATTCATCATCGGCGGCTGCAACTGACTCATCTGCGCTGCCATCTGCTGATGTGCATAGGCAGCTCCACCGCCTCCGCCGCCCACCGAATTGTTTCCCATGCCATGACCCTGGCCATGATCCATGAGCATGTGATTGAAGTGTGGCATTTGTGGGAAGCCGCCATGGTGTGTTGGATCCAGTAAAGTGGGTGGGCGTGGCAGTGTCTCTTCAGCGGGCGATGGCTGACGGGAGCCGGGAGTGCGGCTGCAAATTAAAACGATAAGGGAAAAGAAAGAAAATTACAAAAATTGCCAAAGTTTATCATACACTGCTTAATTTAGACAGTTAGGTTTGAGTGTCATTGGAGCACACCACGTACAGTTGTGATGTCACTGTAGAACTTGTTCTCTACAGTTTGACACCCACTGCGCATATCCCTTAAGTTTAATTTCACTGTGCAACAACTTGCATGCCTGTTCAGTTTAGCAGCCACTGTGCCAAGTGCTTAGCACAGACAGCAACCTAGGCAGTTTAAGAAACTAGCCGTGACACGCACTGTACTAAAAATACATTTAGCACTCGGCATTCAAACTGTGCGCAAATGTTTAGTTGTTGAAAACCAATTATAAACAAATTAATCACAGCTAATTGGACTTTTTAAACAAATTTGAACTCGATTGGGCGACAATTAGGCGCTGCTTCAATGCATATTTTTACAGTTTTGAAGTCACTGCAAGACACTGCCACTCTTGTAAACAAGAGACTTAAGCAGCAAACTTGTTGAGATTTATTGTTTGGCAAGATGAATTGCGGGTAGAGGGACATGTGGTTTATGACGTCAGCAGAAAGACTGTCGCCAAAACAGCAGCTGGCAATGTTGCCATAAATTTAAAAAAATAAACAATAAATTCAGACGGATTTTTTGTTTGAAAATGCAAATTTCATTAAGATATATACAAATAAATCAATACATTATATATATACGCGACTGTCTGTGTTAATTAATGAATTTGTCCGTTTTTAGGCTCGCCAACAAAATTTGTGCAGTGACCGTGCAACTGTATGCGTCTGCTTTGTTGACTCACACGCGCACTTTCGCCGTCTCGCTCTAACATGCAGTCAGTGCGAATTGGCCATAAATTAACTGTCGGGTCATTAACACCAAACACGGCAACAACCACTGCAGTGGCTGCGTAACTGTAACGCCTGAGTGACTAATCCTCAAGCCGAATGGGCTATGTTTAACCAGCTGCTGCTCAAACTGTAAACTATACAGCACGTGCTTATAATTTCCCCAAAACTGTAACTAATTTCATGGCTTACAACATTTTGATTAATTTTAATCAATAATTGCGCCACACAAAATGTTAAAAAAAAAATTAATAATAGGTTTGTTTTTAAGTGTCTGTCGACAAAATGCGGACTTGTAAAATTACCCTGTCTTCATCATCTACTCTTTCTTAGCTTCGAATTTCCCTTACTTTAATTCCGCATTTTCATTTAATTTAATTTTCAAAATACATTTTTTTGGGTCATGACTCTCAAAGTCATGCAAAATATCCTCTTTAATTAATAAAAAATTATATGAAAGATGAAAAAAGAAGATCCGTAATTTATTTTCAATCTATTGTGGACGTCAATATTTGCATTAAACCAACATTTAAAGTGCTTCAGAGTGTTTTATTATTCTGTTTTGAACATCTAACAACTTAGCTCTGTAAGCTCCTCAAACTTGGTCAAAACTTTACTGATTTTGATAGCGTATTTCGATTTTGATCATGATTTGGCCTTTTCTTAATTACTTTTTAAGTAAATGCATTGCTTTTATTGAAGAAACAACTTTTTTTTGGCCTTTTTTATATTCCTACAAATATTTTGCCTAATATTCAAAAAATGAAATTTTTCAGATGTAAGAAAAGAAAACCCCACTCAATCTCCAAGTGAATCTATATATTAAACCCATCTATACTCTTAAACTTCATACTGAATATTAAATTAAATTCATCTTTATTCTGAAGCCTCACACTGACTCTCCTATCCTATCAATATTGTAATACATTACAGTGACTCTTAAACTGCATATCTATGTATAAACCTCACACTGACTCTAAAACTACATGTATTTTTTTTTTAATATGAAAAACTCCCGCTGAATGTCAATTTGAATCTATATTCAATACTTATCGACATATATATAAAAAGCTAACGCCGACTCTCGAACTGCATGCATTGAAAACTGTAAGCAATGACATATATGAAAATAAGCTTGAATAAGCAAATACAAAATACGATACGCTATTTGTGTGAGGTCAGTTCCATTGGCAACACTCCACATTACAGGCCCAAACGTTGACCAAGAATCAGAATCAGAATTCAAATTTCGCTTATACAATAGAAAAAAAGAGAGTGAATAGCAAAAGAAATGTTTCACTTTCAGCGGCAGCCAAAAGGAAAGTGCGCAGCCAAATGTTGATATAAAGGTCAGTGGAGCTCATAATGTTGACCAACTTAGCAGACGGTTAGACGGGCGCGGGCAGACAACTGGCAACCAAGTCTCTGTCGAGAGTAGGTTGGGCGACAGGTGCTCCGGTGTAGTAACTGAAACCACACACAACAACAACAACAACAACAACAACAAAATCGCAAACTCGAACTCAAGCCCCCTGCCCAAAGTTGGTCAGCTTGGCTGGCTGTTGCCACAATTTGAAGCGAGCCGTTTGAATTTTCGCAACTAAATTTCATTACGCGGCGCGCAAAACGTGAGCAACAAAAAAAATTAGTCGAATAAAAAAAATATATATATATAGAAAAATATTTATAAAAAATTAAACGAAACACAAACGCAAACTAATCGAACAAAATGCTATACAAAAATAAGACTCAATAGAGCTTAATATACATTTTTGTTTGTTGTTGTTGCTTGAGTCAAAATTGTTGTTGTTGTTGCTGTTGCTGCTGTTGTTCCTGTTGTTGCTGTTATTACTGTTGTTGTTGCTGTTGCTGCTGTTGTTCCTGTTGTTGCTGTTATTACTGTTGTTGTTGCTGTTGTTGTTGCTGTTGTTGTTGTCGTTGTTGTTGCTGTTGTTGTGTTCGCTATTGCCGTTGATTACTTACATCATAACCGTTATTACGTTTGGCATTGAAACACGTTTTGGCTGCGCCGCCGACACCGGCAATGAAATTGCAGCAACAACAACAACAACAATTGAAAGAGAAAACCGGCAAAGCAGAGCAACAAAAAATAAGAACAACAAAACCAACAACAGCCTGAAAAGCCAACCACAACTGGTTTTTGTTTATGGTCTGGGGCTAGGCTTTGCAATTGCCCACAAAAACTTTATAAGGCCTGAAATTTTTGGCAGAGCTTGTTGTAAACGGCTATTTGAAGAGATGAAAACGAATTGCTATTCAGATTGAAAGAGAGGGAGAAAAAGAGAGATAGATGGAGTGAGTAAGAGCAGGATATGAAGAGACAAAGCAGAAATAAGGCCGAAGCTATGAGGAGGGGAGAGAAGAAAACAATCAAAAGAGAAAAGGAAAAATGATAGCGAGAAAAAGAGAGAAGGGAATTAATAATGAATAAAACGCAAATGAGTTGGTTAGAGAAATAGAAGAAAGATAAAACGGAAGAGAAAAAGGGAGAGGGAGGAAGAGAGGGAAAAAGATAGAAGAAATGAGAGAGGAACAAAGAGAGCAAGAGCGAGAGATAGACTGAGAAAACGAGAGCAAGATAAAAACAGAGATAAGCCCAGACAGAGGCAGATGATATAAATAACGAACAAGCGAGAAACCTATGGAGAAAGAGAAAGAGAGAGAGAGAGAGAGAGAGAGAGAGAGAGAGAGAAAGAGGGACAGCGAGGCAGAGACCGATAAAGATATATAGAAAGAGACTGCCAAAAAGCAGAGACAATACAGAGAGAGTTATAAAATGCTCTTTATAAAATTTAATACTCATTTCGTTAGTGCGATTCTTTTTAATTCTCTCTATATAATTCGATTATTTTTAATTTTTAATTCTGCTTTGTTCAGCATTCGTAAACGTTTCATTTAAGTTAAAAAAAAGAGAAAACTGTGCAAATATCATAAAGAAAAGATGACCAGCAGGGATTTGAAGATCCATTTGCTTAGTGTTCAAATATTAATGGGTAAAAATATAATTACCAAAAAAAAAAAGAACACATCTTTAAGGAAATTCCCGTCATAAGAGCCGAAAGATTACCAAGCACAGCTCCAAAGCTCGTACAGCTGTCAAGTAGACTTAGAAAGTGATGCCAAAGGGGCAAAGACATAAAACACTTGACAACTGAATCATCTTTTTATATGAGAGTGCCCAAAAAATAAACGACAGAAAATAAGTACAGCAAAGCGAGAAAGAATCAAATGTGGGCCAAGTATGCAGCAAAGGCGACACAAGTGGGTGTTGACTCAACGGATCTCAACGGACAGCAGTTGGAGAAAAATTGAACTCCGTCATTTGCCGAATCAATAAGAAATATCTCCCAAAATCAATTCCGGACTGTGGGCAGAGAGATTGCATTTCATAGATATTTTTATTACAAATGGATATTTCTTGCGACATGAAAATAGAAGCAGAAGAAGGGGAAGTCGATGGAAAATTAAAAAGAATTATACGAAAAGTAATTGACAGTCAAGCTCAATGCAATTGGCTAATATATATATATAGAAATTCCATGGGATTAACAAATAAAAAAATATATAAAGATTGATTAATAAATCGCACATTAAATCATGAAACAGCTCTATTTTCAAGAACAAAATGATATAAGTATCAAAATAACACATCTATATGGAGCAACAACTCTTCTTTTTCTGTAGTTTCTCAGTCTTTGGGAGCGTGCTCCACATGTTATACCCCCCCATGTTATAAGTCTAAGCAACCAACTGACGCAACTTCAGAACTCTTAGCTGCGCCCCTCTGGCCCATACAAGAACGTGCCATGGGGACCTTGAAGAAACCAGTTTGCGAGAGAGACATGGCATAGGCATAGGCTTAGCCATTCTAATGTCAATGCCATTGGCCAGACTTGAACTAGACACTGGAGACAGACGACCGAGCGGCGGAAAAGTTGATCAGTTATCTGGTTAAACATGGAATTGTCTAGCTAGGCTGTCTACTCACTTGAATCCCTTGTCATCGTCGATGCCATTGACGACTCCATTTGTGTTTGTGACTTGGTCGTCCTTCTTTAAACCATTTGTATCAACCGGAGAGTTTGCCTTTTCCTTATCATCGTGTGACTGCAATAGACATACGGGCATATATTATTTGATATATTTCGTTATATAACTTGAGATCAAAGTTTACCTTATCATTATCGTCAAATTTTAAATTGCGCATACGCGGCTCCAAACTGGACAAGGGACTCTCCTTGTTGGTGGGTGAGCCGCCCAGAACAAATTCAACCATCTTAACGCATGTTGAATCGCGGGGGCTGTTGGGGAGAAAAGAAAATAAGGAGCGATTAAAAACAAGCTAAAAACCTAACAGACTTAGAATCACGTAAATTAATAACGTTTAAATGGTTACGTATTACGCGTTTCCTTTTACGTTACAGCTTACGTTAGCAACGAGATATTTCGGATCTTACGTAACGTAAAGCAACATAACGTAATTACTGGATAGTGTATACGTATTACTCTCACAAAATCTCACCTCAATATGCCCGCATTGCCGCTGTTCGAGTTATCAGAAGCGCCGCCATGCGGATAACCACGTGGCCTGGGCGGTGCCAGAATATTCTCGGCCTGTGTAGACCATGTGTGATCCTTCCAAACGGACGAGTGATCGCCAACACCGGGTATCTGCAGAGGATTCAATGGGCCGCCTGGTGTGCTGGAGGCGCCACTCTTACCATCCGACTTCTCCCACAGCTTCTTAGCAGTCGATGTGGTAATCTGCAGGAGAGATAGAAAGGAAAAGGTAAAATTAGAAAACAAATTTCAAATGCACATTTTCTATGGCATTAACGTGTCAGAAGCAGCAGGGCAACCAAGTTTTCCATTTTCCATTTTAGTGTTGCAATTGAATTATTAGTAACATCAATAATTTACCGCAAAAATGCGAACAGGCAAACCCCCTTCCCACTTCCCCCTCCCCTACTAAACTGCATGCAAAAGCAGGCGTCCAGTAAGCTTCCTGTTGGGGCACGTCGTACACTTCCTGCGATTGCTGCATTCTGCTGACTGTGCTGATAACTTTTGCTTGGCTTTAGCAGCTTATGCCACACTGAGTCCGAGTCGTGTCCAGCATTGCAAAGTTTTTACAATCCTCAACTTTAAAGCAGTCCCTCCGTCCGCCCATTTCCGCTCCACCACTAGTGACAGCAATCCTGCAATCCTGCAGCCTGGTGCAGAGCGCATAGCTAATGAAATCAAATTAACTGCAGTTGGGCCTCTAATGAAAACTACGTGACAATTGAATTCGCATTTCAGTTGCAGTTAATTAGGAAACAGCTGATGAACCATGGGAAAAACTCAAATTTGCGATAGGTATATGACCTTTAAGATTACAACATATCTCCGTTAGAGATAATTTTCTGATAAGCAGAAATTGAATTTCATAATACGTAAAGCTTACTAAATAAAATAAGGATACTTGAAAACCATTCCATTCCATTCCGTCTTCATTGGTTCTTACGTAAATTATACGTTAGGTTACGTGAAGAAAATTATTTGCTACGTTACGTAACATTAAATAATCAAAATAAAGATATAAAAAAGTATACGTTTTGGGCATTTATCCTTTAGAATAAGTTGGATATGTAGACATTGAGGCAGCTGTTAAGGTATGTAGTTTGCAATAGCGTTCTACACAAACACAAGTTGCCTAATTTAATATTCATATATTAAAATAACTACGTAACGTCTTACTTGATAGATGTTTGTTAAAGGATATTTACATTCCGCCAATGCAGAAAGCATAATAATATAAGTTACGTAACGTTAACGCTTATTTATAGTAGACTTGTTTACTGCGTTCTTTCACAGTATTTGGGCCACTGGCCTCCAAGCAGAGACCACAGTGCATCTTTTTTTTCTAGAGACATAAATCATCTGAGGTGGTCAGTAGCGATTGGGCGAGGCGATGTCCCCCAGCCAGGGAAGAAGCGCATCAAAGACAGACGCCAGACAGCAGTTAGTTACATTTCTCCAGCTGTAAATCAAGCAACTTATGAGAAGCTTTGCCGTTGACAAACTGACACTGCAAGTGCACAATGCGAAAGAGAGGGATGTAGAGATAAAAATAGATAGTAAGAGAGATAGAGGGAGAGAGAGGCAGACAGTTGGACAGTTGACGGGTTGCTTCATCAGTCAAAACAGCTGCCGCAACTCGAAACCATTTGTGGCAATTTTGTCTTTGGTCACCAGCGATATTTATTGGCGACTTTAAGAGAGGCAAAGAGTAAGAGTGAGATAAGGAGAGCGAGAGAAAGAGGGAGAGCGACAGAGAGGGAGAGCGTGAGCGAGAGCAAGAGAGAGAGCTATAACAACTGCAGCATTTAACACGCAACTAAGCTATGTCCAAGCACTTTTGAGCTTATATGAAAATCAGATCATAATACTAATATCCCCTTATTCACCCACCCACACATACACCCCCGCCAAGCTCGACAAGCTTTACTCAGGGGCCCTGCACATGCGTTAAATTTGCCTAATTAACTTTTATGCTACATGAGTTTTTATTATTGCGAAAGGCAATATGAAAATTCCCAAGGCATTTGCGTTGTCATAATGCGTCAACGCGACGCGTGCCACGTGCCACATGCCACAGTTTCCAGTGTTGCCACATATAGCTGGCAACATCATTTTAAATATTTGATATGCCCATCACCCAGCACATTTACGAGGCAACAGTTGAGCAAAGTCAACGACGCGAATCCCATGAATTAGGCAGCACTTCCTCGAAGACACCCTCCTCCTGCCCCTACCACCTACCTACCACTTTTCGATAATTTGTCTCCTTGCGAGGAGTTTCGTTTCGCTTTTCATTGGGCGCCATTAAAAACGACTTATTCGAATTGAATTTCGCATGTGAAATGCAAGTCGGTTAGGCAAAATTTCGAAATTTAATTGATTTTGGCCTCAAATGGAATGGAAATGTAATGGAAAACTATTATTAAGTAAAAACACAACTTACATTTAAATTAAAAGCATTGAATAATATTTGATGCTAACCTAACCTGGCCTTACTTTTAATATGGCCTAATTACTTTAGACTTCATATATAAACTTGCCTGAGATTTAAACTCGGCCTGAAATCTTTTTATCTTCAATCTCTCATTATTAAATTTAGTAAGACATCTAACCAAACACACAGAAAATGGGCTCTTGTGTGCATGCTGTACTTTCTTCGTAGTTTGACGCTTACAATTCCCAACAAGCTAACGCTTTGAAAACGTTAAACTGCGTTTGCAATCGTAGAGTAGATAGCAGTCTGCCTATGTTAGAGCCAGGCGGTGCTTGCAAAGTACCAGCTAACTTTTAATGTTTATAACTTGTTGATTGATTAATAAAATTAACTAAAAAATTCAACAAACATAGAACTCGAGCCGGCCTGTGGTAGTATTTCTTGACACATACAAATCCCTTACTCTAATCAATTTCACATCGAATGATGTCTTGTGCCATTGTTCAGAATCTCATGGCTGCTGAAACACTTTTTAGAGGTGGGCAATGACAACCTTGCGCCAAAAATTTCCAACAAGCCAAGCCCAAAAGTGGCAAAAAAAAAAAACTCTTCCGCGACACAAACTGATAAACAACCACAAAAAGGGCATACATTATTTGTTTGTTAGCCCATATTTGCGCAGTTCAAAACTATAACTAAAACAATGCAGACGCGGCCCAAAGGAAAACAAACACCATAGATAACGAACATGAGATACCCTTCCGGCAAAAAGGCAAAAATATCAGATTTCCTCTTAGGGAAAATATGCAGCCAGGGTAACTAAGGAAAGACAAACTTTAGAAAATATTTACATAAAATGCAAAAATATGAGTACATTATAGTATGTGACAATGCACTCATATCTACTATTCATAAGCACACTTTTCTAGGGTATGCAACAACAATTGCTTGGCTAAAAGCGTGAAAGCGTCATCAAAAAAAATGTTGCTGCCAACTGGGCCTGTCGCACAGATTGCTCAAACACTGGCAACAACAACAACAGGAAAGATGTAGATAAACAATAACGGCAAAAACAACAAATATTTTAAACTAGTTTAACGTAACTAAAAGGCGTATGCGCAATATGGGTCATCTTTATAGAGACCTCCACTCTCGCCGCCCACCCTCCAATCACGCCCACACAAATATTGAATGAATATTAAATTTAAAAAAATGAATACAAAACTAATTGCAGTTTTTGTATATAAAATAATATATAGAACAATAAATAAAAATGCGGCGCTTGACAAAAATAAACAAAAGCAAAGAAAGTGTCCGTGTCCGTCGAATACTACCAACTGCGTGATACCCTGTTTATAGTGCACGCAAAGCATTTTAAGCCAATAAGAACAAGAGTATTTCGAGTAGCTGCAGATTAAATAAACTACATTTTTCAAGTAGTCCCCACTCAAAACAGAATTTGGTGACTCGTGTGCTCTAAAATGGGTAATCGAAGAATTTAACCGAAAAATATTGTATTACTACATATACTCCACCCTTTTGCCCATATATTACAGGGTATTAGCCAGAAAAAATTACGCTATTTTAGCATTTTTGGCGCCTTTCATTCAACAGAGCAGCGCGAAAAGCCGAAAAGTAAAAAAAAAACGTTTTGCATAAATAATGCAAAAATACATTTTTTTTAAAATGAATAAGCAGCAGAAAAAGAAACATCAACAACAAATTGAAAGACAAACGAATGAGTCAACAAAATGAGTGGAGAAAAATCAGAAAAGTGAGAGCCACCCCCCTTGTCAACGCCACACACACATACATACACATACACACACACACGCACATAGTTGAGCTGAAAACGGCTCAAAATAATTACAAAAAAGCCAAATCGTTCATTAACTTGTCCTTGAATATGAAGAGACAACAACAACAACAACAGCAAGCAGAGCGTGAGTGCAAAAGCGCGACTGCAAAAGAGAGAGGCAGTGTGTGCGAGAGGAGAAGGCGGGGGGTGTGGGTGGCCGCACGGCTAACCGGCCCTAAAAACATGCGTGAGACAACAAAGCGACGACCAAGAACGTGCGTACAAAGCAAGCGACAAGAAGAACAAGCGACGGACGAGGCGATGCGATGCGGCGCACAAACAACAAATCACGTTAAAGAAAACAGCAGCAGCAAAAGGAACGCAAAAAGAGCGCGACGCAAAGAGCGTGAGCTAGCGAGTGAGTGAGAGGGAGACAGGCAAGAGGGGGTGCCATAGGCTTGTCAGCAACAACAACAGCATAAAATTTGAGCATAAAAACGAGCCGTAAATAAAAGCAGAAAATTGTATTTAGTTTTTGCTAAATTAAGTTAGCAATTTTGTGGTTTGTTGTTGTTTTTATTCTTCTCCTTCTTCTTGCTTTTCAGGCCTGTTCTGGAGAGTTGAAAATGTTTTTATATTGTGTTTTTTATCGTTCTTTAGAAAATGTTGGAATTTTTTTGCAAAACGGAATGCGAATGTGAAAGACATGGTGAAAAAAGAGTGAAAGGGTGAACATTTTTTGGCAATACAAACGCATGGCTCTAATTTTCAATTAATTCTAATTTAAAATAATAATAAATACAAATTTTATTGTGGAAATAATATAACATTAACAAGAAAGAACGACTATTTGAGGTACAAAAACTAATAATATATTAAGAAAAAAAATTCTAATTTCCTAATTTCATTCAAAAAAAAAGAACATAATTTCGAAATCTGATAAAAGTTAAATAATTAACTATATATACT